TCTCCCTCTCCCTCTCTTTCCCCCACCCCACCCTCTCCCTGTCTCCCTCTCCCTTTCTGTCGCCTCTCCCTCTCCCACTCTCTCTCCCACACACACCCTCTCCTTCTCCCTCTTCCTTTCTCACCCCACCTCTTGCTCTCTCCCTCTCCCCCTCTCCCTCTTTCTCTCTCCCTCTTCCTTTCTCTCTCTTCTCTCCCTCTCCCCCTCTCTCTTGCTCTCCCCCTACCCCTCTCTACCCACCTTCTCCTCTCTCTCTCCCTCTCCCTCTTTCTCTCTCCCTCTCCCTTTATCTTTCTCCCCCACTCTCTCGCTCTCCCTCTCTCTCGCTCTCCCCCTTCTCCCCCTCTCTCTTTCTCCCTCTCTCTCCCCCACCCTCTCCCTGTCCCTCCTCTCCCTCTCTCTCCCCTACCCTCTCCCTGTCTCCCTCTCCCTGTCCCCCCCTCTCTCCCTCTCCCTCTTTCTCTCTCCTTCCCTTCTCCCCCACCTTCCTCTCCCTCTGTCTTTCTCTCTCTTTCTCTTCTCGGAAGGCTGTCCCAATTCCTAATGAAGATCGCATTAAGCATCTGCTTGGGCAGAATGCTTGGACCTCCCAGAAAAACGAGCTGGCCAACCTCTATCCTCGCTTGGCCTCCAAATCGGAAACCGGGAAGATTGGCCTAATTAACCTGGGGAACACCTGCTACATGAACAGCATCCTCCAGGCTCTCTTCATGGCCTCAGAGTAGGCAGCCCTCTCCTGCTTCTTCCTCCCTTCTTCCGATCCACCCACCTTCCTGTGTTTGTATCTAGGGGTTTCGTCCATGTTGCCTCTTTCCGGCTGTCTAAACAATGCGAGTTTAGGAAAGGGAAACGGGAGTGCAGGTAGTCCTCGACTTACGACCCCAATTGAGTCCAAAATGTCCGTTGCTAAGCGAGACAGGCATTAATTAAGTTTTGCCACATTTTAACAACCTTTCTTTCCACGGTTGTTAAGTGAATCATTGCCGTTGTTAAGTGAATCGGGCTTCCCCATTGACTTTACTTGTCAGAAGGTTGCAAAAAAGGGATCACGTGACCCCCAGGACGTCGCAACCGTCTTAAATACGAGTCAGTTGCCAAGTGTCTGAATGTTGATCAGGTGACCCTGGGGATGCTGCAACGGTCGTAAGTGTGAAAAACTGGTCGTAAGTCAGTTCTGCCGGTGCCGTGGTAACCTTGAACGGTTGCTGAACAAATGGTTATAAATGGAGGACCGCCAGTATCCGTGTTAGAAGCATCTAATTCAAGCATGTCCATCGTTTATGGAATGTAGGAATAGCCCATTTGAGGATTTATCCCGAGCGTTGTCAGAATTAAGCCCCACACCTCAAGCTCTGATTATTGGCTCAGGATCAATAATCGGGACCAGCAAATTTGCTGAATCTGCAGCACGGAGTTAACAAATTTGATTTAGCACAGCGTCCGATAAAGATAAACTGAGTTGTATTCAGGAATGAGCAGTTGATTTTATAGCAATAGGCCTTTTTCCAGATGTTTGCAAACTTCTTTCCAGTCTGGCCTACAAAACCTGGGATTTTCTGGTGGGATCCCAGCCACATATCCACCAGCTTTCAGCTTGCTTAGGTTCCAAGCTCAAGCAACAGCATCCCAACCTTGTTATTTGCTGAGCTGGACTATTTTATCATTTCAAATGAAGAAGACGAGAATTTCACTTAGAATTGATTTATAGCAGTAGCAACAGCACTTAGATTTATATTGCATACCGCTTCACCTTGCTGTACAGCCCTGTCTGAGCGGTTTACAGAGTCAGCATCTTGCCCCCCCCCCAACAATCTGGGTCTTCATTTTACCAACCTTGGAAGGAGGGAAGGCTGAGTCAACCTTGAGTTGGTCAGGATCGAACTCCTGGTAATGAGCAGAGGGTTAGCCTGCAATACTGCATTCTAATCACTGTGCCACAGGAAGGAAGGGAGGGAAGGAGGGAGGAAAGAAAGAAAGAAGGGAGGGAGGAAAGAAGGAGGGAGGGAGGAAAGAAAAAGAGAAAGAAAGAAAGAAAGAAAGAAAGAAAGGGAAGAAGGAAGGAAGGGAAGGAGGGAGGAAAGAAAGAAAGAAAGAAAGAAAGAAAGAAAGAAAGAAAGAAAGAAAGAAAGAAAGAAAGAAAGAAAGAAAGAAAGAAAGAAGGGAGGGAGGGAGGGAGGGAGGGAGGGAGAAAAGAAAGAAAGACCGAAAGGGAGGGAAGGAGAGAGGGAGGGAGGAAGGAAGGGAGGGAGGGAGGGAGAAAAAGAAAGGAAGGAAGGAAGGAAGGAAGAAGGGAGGGAGGGAGAGAGGAAAGAAGGAAGGAAGAGAAGGAGGAAGGGAGGAAGGGAGGGAGGGAGGAAAGAAGGAAGGAAGAGAAGGAGGGAGGAAAGAAAGAAGGGAGGGAGGGAGGAAGGAAGGAAGGGAGGGAGGGAGGGAGGGAGAAAAGAAAGAAAAAGAAAGAAAGAAAGAAAGAAAGAAAGAGAAAGGAGGGAGGGAGAAAAGAAAGAAAAAGAAGGAAGGAAGGAAGGAAGGAAGGAAGGAAGGAAGGAAGGAAGGAAGGAAGGAAGGAAGGAAGGAGAGGAATAGCAATAGCACTTAGACTTATATACCGCTCGGTTTACAGCCCTCTCTGAGCGGTTTCCAGACTCAGCATATCTGCTCCAACAATCCGGGTCCTCATTTTACCCACCTGGGAAGGAGGGAAGGCTGAGTCCAACTTGAACCGGTCAGGATCGAACTCCTGGCTGTGGGTAGTGAGTTAGCCTGCAATGCTGTACTCTAACCGCTGGGCCACCAGGGCTCTTGTAACCACCCAGGAGAAAAACTTACGTGTGGCCTTTTGCAATGAACAAAGCCAGGACCTTCTGTACAGTTCGGGGGCTGAACGCAGCCACAGAGAAGAACTGTGTGTAATTATTTTGGGGCCCAAATCACCTCTGCTTAATACAGCTTGTACTTTAAGCTAAGGCCACCTGGAGGCTGAGTAAGGACGGTGGGTGGCCGTAGAACGCCACCCACCACAAACCTATTATTTATATTTTCCTAGTTCTGAGCAGCTCTTAAAGGAAGGGTGATTATGGTCGGTGCTTTAAGTAAACGGATTAACCGACGACGGGATTTTGTAACTTGAGTTTCCCTTCCAACTTTATTATTATTATTATTATTATTATTAATGTTCTTTCCAGTTTCAGGCGGTCGGTGCTGAATTTAGCCGAGAACAACTCCCAGCCTCTGGCGGCAAAACTACAATGGCTCTTTGCCTTTTTAGAGCACAGCCAGGTAATTCATTGAATGTTTTCTTCATTGCAGGATGTTGCCTTTGGGGGGGCTGTAAGCTCCAGGTTTGTTTGAGGGATGCACGAGGGATTAAGGAAATGCTTCTCGGCCGGGGCAGCTTTGAAAGTATGGACTTCAACTCCCAAAATTTCCCAGCCATCACGCTTGAGGCAGAACTAGAACTCGCCATCTCTGCCTGATTGGCCCAATGTCACCCAGCCAGCTTTTCATGCCTAAGGCGGGACTAGAACTCACCGTCTCCTGGTGATTGGCTCAAAGTCACCCAGTTGGCTTTCATGGCTAAGGCAGCACTAGAACTTACAGTCTCCTAGTGATTGCCCAAAATCACTCAGCTGGCTTTCATGACTAAGCTGGCGCTAGAATTCACCGTCTCCTAGTGATTGGCCCAAAATCACCCGGCTGGCTTTCATGGCTAAGCTGGCGCTAGAACTCACCGTCTCCTGGTGATTAGTCCAAAGTCACACAGCCAGGCTTTCATGACTAAGCTGGCGCTAGAATTCACAGTCTCCTGGTGATTGGCCCAAAATCACCCAGCTGACTTTCATGGCTAAGCTGGCGCTAGAACTCACCGTCTCCTGGTGATCAGTCCAAAATCACCCAGCTGGCTTTCATGGCTAAGTTGGCACTAGAATTCACTGTCTCCTGGTGATTGGCCCAAAATCACCCGGCTGGCTTTCATGACTAAGCTGGTGCTAGAATTCACAGTCTCCTGGTGATTGGCCCAAAATCACCCGGCTGGCTTTTATGACTAAGCTGGCACTAGAATTCACAGTCTCCTGGTGATTGGCCCAAAGTCACCCAGCTGACTTTCATGGCTAAGCTGGCACTAGAATTCACAGTCTCCTGGTGATTAGTCCAAAGTCACCCAGCTGACTTTCATGGCTAAGCTGGCGCTAGAACTCACCGTCTCCTGGTGATTAGTCCAAAGTTACCCAGCTGGCTTTCATGGCTAAGCTGGCGCTAGAACTCACCGTCTCCTGGTGATTAGTCCAAAGTTACCCAGCTGGCTTTCATGGCTGAGACTAGAACTCACCCTATCCTTGTTTCTAGGATGGCACCTTAGCCACTACACCCAACTGCTTACAAAATTCAAATAAACCAATGTATAAATTTAGCAGGCACAAAAGAAAAATCAGTTCCCATAACCTTAATGGAAAAAAAAAAAACCAGGTAAAACAGGACAGCCTGATATCTAAACTGCAGGAACAAAAAAAAATTTCAATGTGTTTTTTTTTCTCTCTCTCCACTTTCTCGCCTCTCCGATACCTCCGCAAGCGGCCTGCAATTTCTCCTGAAAATTTCCTTTTGGCTTCGTGGCCTCCCTGGTTCAGCCGAGGAGCCCAGCAGGATTGCTCTGAGTATCTGAAATACCTGCTGGATCGGTAAAGTAGATGGTGGATGGTTTGGGAAAATGTGATTTGGATTGTTTAAGCCAGTTTTTTTGCCCCAGCCTTCAGCACTTTAAGAGGAGTAGACTTCAACTCCCAGAATTCCTCAGCCAGCATGGCTGGCTGGGGAATTCTGGGAGTTGAAGTCCACTCCTCATAAACTAGCCTCGGTTTAAGCTGTCCAAGGCTGAGGAGAAATTACTCTGTAGAGAAAACTGGAGAGTTTTCAGCTATAATTAATTTAAAGACTACGGGAATGGGCAACTATAAATAATTTAAACCAGCAATGAATGAATGAATGAATAATGCTGGCTTCCAAATTCGGGAGAGATTTATATCTGGATTCAACAGCGGATATTTTTAAGAAGAGATTGGACAACCATTTGCCTGCAATGGTATAGGGCAGGAGTAGGCAACCTTGGCTCTTTTATGACTGGTGGACTTCAACTCCCAGAATTCCTGAGCCAGCCATGCTGAGGGGAAAGGGAGAAGTTTCCAAGCTGAGCCATGCTGGCTCAGGAATTCTGGGAGTTGAAGTCCACCAGTCATAAAAGAGCCAAGGTTGCCTACCCCTGGTATAGGGTCTCCTACTTGAGCAGTGGGTTGGACTAGAAGACCTCCAAGGTCCCTTCCAATTCTGTTGTTCTTTTATTCTGGATTGGTTTTCAGGGAGAACGGCTTGAATTTGGATTCACCTGTGAACAAAGTCTTACATATCATGGCCTAAAAAGTTTTCTTCCCACTCTAAAACTCCCTTTTTAACGACCCAATTTGGGGTAATGTCCAGGGTGGGATTCTTTTAAAAAAATTCTTTGTTCTGGCTTTAAAAGGAGAGTTTCTATCCCTTAGTGCAGGGATCTTCAAACTTGGCCCTTTTATGACTTGTGGACTTCAACTCCCAGAATTCCTCAGCCAAGCACGCTGGCTGAAGAATTCTGGGAGTTGAAGTCCACAAGTCATAAAAGGGCCAAGTTTGAAGACCCCTGATATAATGTGAGGGGGAAAAAATGCTAACTCAGAAAGAGCTAAACTGGTCTTTCCCAACCTCGGCCATTTTAAGAGGTGTGGACTTCAACTCCCAGAATTCCTCAGCCAGCGTGCCTGGTGAGGAATTCTGGAAGACCACAAGTCATAAAAGGGCCAGGTTTGAAGACCCCTGACATAATGTGAGGGGGAAATAATGCTAACTCAGAAAGAGCTAAACTGGTGTTCCTCAACCTCGGCCATTTTAAGAGATGTGGACTTCAACTGTCAGAATTCCTCAGCCAAGCACACTGGCTGAGGAATTCTGGGAGTTGAAGTCCACAAGTCATAAAAGGGCCAAGTTTGAAGTCCCCTGCCTTAGTGTCTCTTTTCTTCTTCATTCTTCCCAAAGTCTTCACGAGGAAGAGAGAACTGGTAGAAGGATCTGTCAGAAACTCAAGGCCTGTTCCTTGGTGTCTCCTGGCGACCGGCAGCCCTCCGTGAACAAAACCCTGGTGGAAGAGATGTTTGGTGGCAAAATTAAGACCAAGATCCGTTGTCTGAAGTGCCTGCAGGTCTCCTCCAGAGAAGAAGCCTTCACAGATCTCTCCTTAGCTTTTCCACCTGCTGATGACCA